TCCCATCTGCTCACTCCTCTTCAGGATCTAGCTCTCTGCTATGTCCTGTGGTCTGAAAAGCACCCTTGTGGGAAACAGTCCCAGAAGCAGCTCCTGGCTTCAGATTGGCCCAGCTCTGGCTGTCACTGCCATTTGGGGAATGAACTAGCAGATGGAAGACCTTTCTCTCTGTCTCTACCTCTCTCTGTCTGTAAATCTACCTCTCAAATAAACAAAATCTTTAAAAAAAAAAAAAAGGAATAAAGAAGTATCTTTCATCTTTCCCAGCTTTCCATCCAAAAATATGTTTCTCACTTGCTGAATAATCATGACACAAATCACACTATTGTAAAGTGTCATGAGTAGTAACAATGCCTGGAGTTAGTTTCGAAGGTCAGGTTGTATAGCCAAAATTGCAGTTAATCAATACTCCCTTACTAGGAAGTTACCTGTTGGAGAATGAGCTGCATCATCTCTCAAACGTGTCAAAAACACCTATCTTTTCCTCATTTATTAAAGCAAAACTATTGCTTTGATTACTAATTGAAGTAGTTGCTTCACATATAACTAGTTCCCTGCTATGTAAAAAGTACATACTCTGAATATCTTGCTGTATTGAGGGTGATTCTTTCATGGATATATGCATATTTTTATTTGGGAAGGGTATATGAGCTTACACAGCTTTTACAGGTCTTAGTTGCTAGTAACTGGCAAGCACATCGTAGCTAAAAGATCCAGGAACTCAAATTGTTGCTTAAAGAACTAAATACTTCCAGAAACTAACAGAACATTAGGCTTCCTTAAAAAGTTTATGAAAAAAATGGAATTAAAAGCTTATTTGGGGGTAAAAACAAGGGAGAGAGACACATGGCAAAGGTTGATCAAACCAGTTAATACCATCTTGAGTCTGGTCCTTCCATTTTGATCTCTCTCTCTCTCTCAAAGGAACACTGACAACTTGGTAGTCTAAGTGGCAGATGATTCTTCAGCTATAACGTGTAAGTTGTTCTGACAAGGTCAGAAAGACCATGCCTAAGAGGTTAACGCTGAAAGCACACATAAAGGAATGTTGTAGAACATGTTCCTATCCCTTCTCTCCATTAGGTTGGCAACTATATAAAATTTTTGCTTCATCCACACTCCTGGGCAACAACATCTGGCTACAGCTTCTAACCAGATCATCTGTGTACTTCTGTCTAGACTGCCCTATGTAAACTGCCCTAATTAAACTCTTTTAATATGGGACTTCCTTTCTTATTCTTTGCTCTTAGGATTCCTTCTCAGTTTGGGGGCAATACACAAATTACTTACATTCAGACACTATTTGATGTTGCCTTTCCAATTCTAACATGTTTAAGTGGATTATTTTTCATACACAAAATTGGGAAATAGTCTATGAGCTTCCAGTTGAAGGTTAGAAACAGTCACAGCTCAGTTCTGGAGAAGACAATACAGAACCAAGAAAAAACATTTTTAACAAACTCCTTCCTAGTATTTTTCACAAAATACCAGTAATGACTATTATTTTATTCTACTAATTCTGTTTGAATAAAGAAAAAATTTACCACCCAATATATCCAGTAGCCAAGTAAAAGAAAGTTGCCTCATACTTCCCCACTTTTGGTTAACTATATATTTAGATAAAGCTAAGAAAAGGCAATTAATACATTAAACAACAGAACAAGTGAATCTAGAGATCAACCATAGAACTTCAATATTAATTAAATCAATTTAATAATGCCCATCAAAACTAACAGAAAACCTATTATGCAAAAATATGTTTAAAAAAAACAAACCTGTTACTATCATTCTGAAAGTTCTGTTGATTTCTAAACAGAGACTGTTCAGTCTATCATATGACCAAATTGGCCAGGCATTGCTCACTGCTTACTCATACACTGGATCTGCATACTAAATATCACGTGAATATCTTGAGAAATCTCAAAAAATTTCAGAATATTTTAATGCTCAGCACAATCAAAACACTTCAAGCTTTTGAAAAAGCATCCTATAATCTATATGAAGCAATAGGGATTACATCTACTTGGTTTCATGAGATTGATACAATTACTAAAAACTATTAAATTTTATTCAATATTAAAGAGTATCAAATATCTTACATGTCTCCAACCAAAACTGTGTTAAACTAAGAAATGATTTCTAAGTTTGTCTAACACTGATAGACATTGAAAGAAATATATTTCTAAGACTGATAGAAAGTGTGTTATAGCAAAAGCAGAATAGTGGCAATAATATGCTTACTGTATATGACTGGATAGAAATAAACTCACATTTGTGCAAACAAACAATGGAAAGATACAAAAGAAAGAAAAGTGGTTACCTACAGGGGAGGTAAACAGGGATAGGAGTTAGACTTGTCAATGTTCAATTTTTTTTTACTTTAATTTTTTGAGCCATCTGAATATATAGTATTTTTTTTTTTTGACAGGCAGAGTGGACAGTGAGAGAGAGAGACAGAGAGAAAGGTCTTCCTTTTTTTTTTGCCGTTGGTTCACCCTCCAATGGCCACTGCGGCCGGCACACTGCGGCCAGCGCACCGCGCTGATCTGATGGCAGGAGCCAGGTGCTTCTCCTGGTCTCCCATGGGGTGCAGGGCCCAAGCACTTGGGCCACCCTCCACTGCACTCCCTGGCCACAGCAGAGAGCTGGCCTGGAAGAGGGGCAACTGGGACAGAATCCGGCGCCCCGACCGGGACTAGAACCCGGTGTGCCGGCCCCACAGGCGGAGGATTAGCCTATTGAGCCGCGGCGCCGGCTGAATATATAGTATTTTTAAAACACAAACTTCGGGGCTGGCACTGTGGGTCACTTGGTTAATCCTCTGCCTGCAGCGCCGGCATCCCATATGGGCAGCAGGTTCTAGTCCCCGTTGCTCCTCTTCCAGTCCAGCTCACCGCTGTGGCCTGGGAGGGCAATGGAGGATGGCCCAAGTGCTTGGGCCCCTGCACCCGCATGGGAGACTGGGAGGAAGCAACTGGCTCCTGGCTTCAGATTGGCGTAGCTCCGGCCGTAGTGGCCATTTGGGGAGTAAACCAATGGAAGGAAGACCTTTTTCTCTGTCTCTCTCTCTCACTGTCTACAACTCTTCCTGTCAAATTAAAAAAAAAAAAAAACTTCATATATTTTTCATTCAATAAAATACATACATACATATATGTATGATTTATCCATATGTGTGGCTTAAATAATAATAAAAAATAAGTTTTTTAAATTTATTTTATTTATTTGAAAGGTGAAATTAGAGAGGTCTTCCATCTCCTGGTTCTCTCCCCAAATGGCCACAACAACCAGGGCTGGACCAGCCTGAAGCCAGGAGCCAGGAGCTTCCTCTGGGTATCCCATGCAGCTGCAGGGGCCCAAGGACTTGGGCCATCCTCCGCTGCTTTACCTGGCACATTAGCAGAGAGCTGAATCAGAAGAGGGCAGCCAGGACTCAAACCAGAGCCAACGTGGGATAGCAGTGCAGCAGGCCAGGGCTTTAACCTGCTGCTCCATAGTGCAGGCCTCAAAAAGTTTTTTAAAACAGGAATAATGAAGAATTTTTCACATCACTTGGAGTCTGTTTCTGGATCACTGTTCTAACCAAACAAAACTTCATAATGGTGGTACCTTTTTCTCCTCTCTTAAAATCTGAGAAGATTCTTCCAACTAAGACAATTCTAGAGAGATGGTTTCATAAAAAGGGGGGAGGGGAAAAAGGACCAAAATAACATGAATTATTTTATCTTTGCACTAAATAATTCCATTATATATAATGATTACAAATTATTTTGACTAAAAAGAGACAAAATTACTATAAGGGAAATGTCTTTCCTAAAGTCCCTCCACCATTCCCACATCTTATTCTCCACATCTTACAAAACTTCAGACTAACACCAAATAGTAAAAATTTTTTTAAAAATCTAGATTGTTGCCTAATAGACCAATCATCTTATGAACAACATTCCAATCTGTAACTTCCTTCCACTTCAAACTACTCTATCAGAATTTGTCTCAGGAAAACTCAAATCCTCTTTCCCCTGTCACCCAAATTACAAGTCTTGGGGTCTTCCCTAAAGCGCACCGGGGATACTTCACTGACAACCTATAACTTTGTGCAGAATTCTTATATTACCATGAGCAACAAGTATCTAAACATCTGTGTTCCTAGGCAATATAAACCAGATATCCACCACTTTTTCATACACACTAAGTATAAAATAGTGTAAAAAATTATAAACAAGTTACAAAAAAAAAAAGGGCTGGGCATAGAATGAGTAACTGTTTCAGTCTGGGATGATGAAAAAGTTCTGGAGATAGTGATGATACCCTGCACAACAATGTTAATGCCACTGAACCACATACTTATTAAAATGATAATGAGGCAGGGGTTGTCCTGAAGTGGTTACACTGCAACTCACAATGCCCACATCCCATATTTGAGTGCCAGTTCCAGTCCTGGCTACTCTACCTCTGATGAAGCTTCCTAGGAGGTAACAGATGTTGGCTCAAGTGCTTGAGCCCCTGTCCCCTGTGCAGGAGACCCAGAAGGAGTTCTGGGCTCCTGGCTTTGGCCTGGCCCAGCCCTGACTATTGTGGGCATTTGGAGAGTGATTCAGCAGATAGAAGATGGATCTCTCTCTCTCTCTCCCCCCCTCTCTCTCACTCTGCCTTTAAAGTAGATGAAAATATTTTTTAAAAAGCATTCCTATGATAATTACTGTCAACGAGGACAAAATATGCTTTGAAAAAGTAAAATGTTAAAATGGTGTTTTATTTTATACATATATATCACAACAAAATAAATTCAAAAACAAATAGAAATGTCACCACAGAATACCACAGTTAACTGTTCACCTAAAAAGAATCTTAACAATTTTCTATGACTAAGCTGTTCTGGGACTATATAATCCAATTCTGTAATGCTTACTATTATGCATGTAGGTACAAGTGCCTACAGTTCCCAGAATTTTTTAGAGGCAATCATTTTCATTTCCTTTAAAATAATTAAAAAATGAACTTGTAAATCAAAGAAAATGTTTTAATATGCAATATTAATATAGTTTCCTTTTTAACAGCATAGTTATCAAATATTTAAGAAAGGGGCCCATGAAAGCAAAAGAGACCCGAGCCCATGAAAAGTCATAACGAGACTATCAAGGTATAGCAAGAAAAATGAAACACAACTGGTATGTATACAAAGGAACATTCTTAAATAAAAATCACATACATGAACAATTAATGAGGGTGTGACATTTTTAAAAAAGCCTCAGTGATATTAGAATGATATCTCAATTATCATTTAATCCTTTTCAAACAACTCTATTAAGAATAGCTATAAAAAACTGCTCCATTTACACAAATATTTGGAGATTAACTTGTGAAGATTTAAAGAAAATGGAGAATAAATGCCAATTGTGGGGAACTGGGGATTGAATCAGTGAATTTCAAAAACCCTATCTGTCTCTGTCTTTCTCTCAATCGCTCTGCCTCTCAAAATTAATTAACAATTTAAAATCAGAAAAAAAAAAAACCTGAAAATTTTTTCTGCTATAACGTTAACATGAAGGAAAACAAAATTGAACTTTATACCTTCATTATACCTCATACAGAATTTCAATGGGTTGCAAATTTGTTTTTATAACTAGAAAAAAATATATACACTATTTCCAGTAATAAGAGGAGGTGAGGCCGGTGCTGAGGCTCACTAGGCTAATCCCCCGCTGGCGGCGCCGGTACTCCGGGTTCTAGTCCCGGTTGGGGCGCTGGATTCTGTCCCGGTTGCTCCTCTTTTAGTCCAGCTCTCTGCTGTGGCCCAGGAAGGCAGTGGAAGATGGCCCAAGTGCTTGGGTCCCTGCACCCGCATGGGAGACCAGGAGAAAGCTCCTGGTTCCTGGCTTCGGATCGGCGATGTGCGCCGGCTGTAGCAACCATTAGGGGTGTGAACCAACGGAAGGAAGACCTTTCTCTCTGTCTCTCTCTCACTGTCTAACTCTGCCTGTCAAAAAAAAAAAAAAAAAAGTAGGATATCCAATCTTCAACAAATTGTCACAAAATATGACTTCAATCAAAAGTGAGCAGAGTTCCACCATTTAACCATGTTACGTTATATATTAACTAACCCCACAGTCACAATAATCCTCCTATGAGGAAAATCCTATTTTTATTCTTAAGTGGTAAACTGGAAAAGTAAGGCCCAGAAAGGTTAAGTCTCTTACCCAATACGACAAATCACAGGCAGGATCTGAACCTAGACAGTCTAATCCCACAGTCCATGCTTTCAACCACTGAGCTATTGATTTCTTTCTTTTGCACAATAAAAATATATGGATTTTTCATTCTACAAATCTAAGTTCATTAGATAAAAATTACTAAAATACAGGACAAAAGTATTAGAACGGTTTTGATAAAGCACTTTAAGAATTCAGAACACCATGTTATTGTCAGTAACAGGGATAAGCAAAGGGTCTGTGTGAGAAATTCTATCTAAATTGAATACGGAGGGATATGAGACACAGAATAGGAAAGGAGAGGAAAACATTCCACACTGGAAAAATACAACCAAAAGCATTAAACTAAGGTAGAAAAGCAGAGATAACTCAACTGAGTCGAAATGGATGGAATATAGGAAAGAAGTAAAAGGAAATTAAATGCTTCAGAGGACTAAGGACTTTGGATCTAGCATGGTAGCAGAAGAGTAATATGAATACAATGGTGACATGGCAAGTGGGTATAAGAAATGAACAGGGGCCGGCGCGGGGCTCACTAGGCTAATCCTCTGCCTTGCGGCGCCGGCACACCAGGTTCTAGTCCCGGTCGGGGCACCAGATTCTGTCCCGGTTGCCCCTCTTCCAGGCCAGCTCTCTGCTGTGGCCAGGGAGTGCAGTGGAGGATGGCCCAAGTGCTTGGGCCCTGCACCCCATGGGAGACCAGGAGAAGCACCTGGCTCCTGCCATCAGATCAGCGCGGTGCACCGGCCGCAGCGCGCCGGCCGCGCCGGCCATTGGAGGGTGAACCAACGGCAAAAAGGAAGACCTTTCTCTCTGTCTCTCTCTCTCTCACTGTCCACTCTGCCTGTCCCAAAAAAATCAGTGGGAAAGTTATATTTCAAAAAGAATATATGTAAGAGGATTTTTTTTTAAAGCAGGCATGTTATCCTAATTGGCTATAAGGAATAACCTCAGTAAGATGAGTCCTCAAATCTTGCCATTGAAAGTATTCTTTTTAAATTAAATTATAATATGATTTACCTCCTAGTCCTTTTCTTCATGTTTATGAAAAGATGGATCAAAGTCTTTCAAAACTGAATACTCACCCAGTGCGAGACTGACCAACTTTATCACAAATATCCAAAATGAGTCCCCAGTCCTCAGCAGTATTCATTTCACTGGTTGCTTTCTCTGTAGATTATAAAAGGAATTGCAGAAAGATTATTCTTAAATCTTTAAAATATATATACTCACATTTAAATCACACTGAACTATATTATAACCAAGCCCTAATCACAAATCAGGTTAATATGATTTCATGTTCATCTTTACAGGAAAGAGTTTATCCATCATGATTATTTTCCCCATTCACACTTGTTTTTAATTTTTTTTACTTGCCATAAAAAATAAGCTGGTAACTTTTCATTATTTAAAAAAAAAAGTGTGGCCGGCACTGTGGCGCAGTGGTTTAATGCCCTGGCCTGAAGCGCCGGCATCCCTTATGGGTGCTGGTTTGAGGCCCGACTGCTCCACTTCTGATCCAGCTCTCTGCTATGGCCTGGGATAGCAGTGGAAGATGGCCCAACTCCTTGGGCCCCTGCGCCCGCGTGGGCGATCCGGAGAAAGCTCCAGGCTCCTGGCTTCAGATCGGCACAGATCCGGCCGTTGCGGCCAATTGGGGAGTGAACCAGAGGATGGACGACCTCTCTCTCTGCCTTTCCTCTCTCTGTGTAATTCTGACTTTCAAATAAATAAATAAATCTTAAAAAAAAAAAAAAAAAAGTTAGGCTGGTGCCATGGTGCAGTGGGTTTAAGTCCCGGCCTGCAATGCCGGCATCCCATATGGGCCCAAGTTCAAGTCCTGATTGCTCCACTTCTGGTCTAGCTCTCTGCTGTGGTCTGGGAGAGCAGGAGAGGATAGCCCAGATCCATCGGCCCCTGCATCCGTGTACGAGACCCAGAAGAAGCTCCTGGCTTAGGATCAGAGCAGCTCTAGCCATTGTGGCCACATGGGGAGTGAACCATGGAAGGAAGACCTTTCTCTCCTTCTCTTTCTCTCTCTCTCTCTCTCTCCTCTGTAACTCTACCTCTCAAATAAATAAACAAAATCTTAAAAAAAAAAAAAAAAGAAGAACTGTAATAGGTTTCCCCTCCCATCACACCTTCCTATCACATTATTAAGACCTCTTATTGCTTTCCGAGGGCAGTGAGCAAGTCTGCGGAGGCCTTCCCCAGGAGCAAGAACTGTCATATCCCGTGCTCTGTTCCCTTTTGCATGGCAACCAATAAAGGCCATTCATACCGCAAAAAAAAGAAAAAGACCTCTTACAGGATGTCAGCCATAGTCCTTTACAATGGGCACATAAGGGATCACCTCCCTTTTCCATTGTGAAAAGAAAAAGAAAATTACTATGAAGGCAGCACCTAGACAGAGAGCTTTTCAAACCAGAGTTGGAAGATCATTAAGAAAACACGACTTAGGCATTTCTTAGGCGCTACCTGGAATGTGAACTTTTGTTTACCTTCACCCTTTCATTCCAATATCTAGATGGACCAGATAATCATATTTGCCCAGAGACCTATATACCAGTATATATATATATACCAGTAGGTTACTGAATTCTTTTTTTATGTTGGGCATTTCCATTTGGTTTATATCTTCTTTATCTTCTGTCACATAGTCCCTGTCATGTCTTTTGCAACTCCAACTGAAGTTTTCCACAAAGAAATTGTTACTGCCTTACAAGAACTCAGCATAATATGCCTACATAAGCTCCAACTTTCCATATCTCCTTCAGAACACTCATTCAAGAGCTAATTTAATCTGTGCCTCCCGAATTGAAAATCCTACGGTGCCAAATAAAATTCTTTTATAATTCCCAAGCTTGAATTGATCCACAGCACCTCTATGCTGGTAAGATGATTTATTTGCAGTAAATAATAAAATTTGAATACATATTCAACAAAATGGAATGAGGATCTAGTCTTTGCCAAGGTCTATCTGAAGTGGCTTACTGTCTAAAAAAGAATCAGAACCAACAGACAGAGGCCTAAATATGATAGAAAAGAATGTAAAGTTCAAGGCAAGTTGAAATAACCTGAGGAGAGGTCAATCAGGAAAGCTTCTTGACAGCTTCAGAAACTGTGAACAGACTAATCAACTCTTTTTTTTTTTTCTACTCAATTGAATCAAGAGTGAAGTTATAAAAACAAAAAAGAATCTAGGCTGGCTTAAATTCAGACTTTATAGAAGGCCAGAATAATAAGAAAGAACCACACACAATCTAAAACACCAGATGAGGTGTTCGACCAATTCAAGAAATACCAGAGCCAAGAATTTTAAGCAAAGAAAAAAATCTACTCAGAACTGGGCTTTCTGGAGAAATATACTGCCAATATGTAATAATGGTTTAAAAGAAGAGGAAGAAGAAAGCATAATGAAAACACTAACACAACCCAAGTAATTAAATGATTACTCAAAAAGGCAATGTGAAAATGCTGTTCAATTATGTTCTGGGAATTAGGGGGTTATGCTAAGACAACTGACTCAAATCTACCTGTCACTGTTCAAGTTTCCATAATATAAGTCCCTCAGGGCTGACGCTTTGACACACTGGGTCAAGCTGCCACCCACAGTGCTGCCATTCCACATGGGCACCAGTTCTAGTCCCTGCTGCTCCATTTCCGATCCAGCTCTCTGCTAATGTGCCTTGGAAAGCAGCAGAACACGTCCCAAGAGGCTGGGTCCCTGTACCCATGTAGGAGACCCAGATGAAGCTCCTGGCTTCAGTCTGGCCCAGCCCTGGCCATGTGGCCATTTGGGTAGTGAACCAGTGGATGAAGACTGATCTATCGATCGATCTCTCTCTGCCTCTGCCCTTCCCTCTCTGAAACTATGCCTTTCAAATAAAAGAAATAAAGAAGGGGAAAAAAAAAACACCTCTTGAAAATAAGTTCTTTCAATATCCAACCTCCTGGCCTAAGTGCTCAACAAATGCTAAGATTAATCATGGATGGGGGCCAGCACCGTGGCTCACTCGCCTGCAGTGCCAGCATCCCATATGGGCGCTGGGTTCTAGTCCCGGTTGCTCCTCTTCCAGTCCAGCTCTCTGCTGTGGCCTGGGAGGCCAGTGGAGGATGGCCCAAGTATTTGGGCTCCTGTACCCGCATGGGAGACCAAGAAGAGGCAGCTGGCTCCTGGCTTCGGATCGGCACAGTGCTGGCTGTGGCGGCCATTTGGGGAGTGAACCAACAGAAGGAAGACCTCTCTCTCTCTCTCTCTCTCTGTCTATAACTTTGTCAAATAAATAAAAAAAAAGATTAATCATGGATCTACAGGATGATCCTTAGAGTTACAGAAACACACAGATATTAAATGTAAGTAACATCTACTTCAATGATTTGCAAGTTTTATTTTTAAATGTAGAAACCTCCTTCAATGCAATTCTTTTTCTTTTCTTTTTTTTTTTTTTTTTTTTTTTTTTTTGACAGAGTTAGACAGTGAAAGAGTGAGAGAGAAAGGTCTTCCTTTCATTGGTTCACCCCCCAAACAGCCACTACGGCCGGAGCTACACCAATCCGAAGCCAGGAGCCAGTTGCTTCCTCCCGGTCTCTCATGCGGGTGTAGGGGCCCAAGCCATCCTCCATTGCCCTCCCATGCCACAGCAGAGAGCTGGACTAGAAGAGGAGCAACCAGGACAGAATCCAGCGCCCATATGGGATGCCAGTGCCGCGCGGAGGATTAACCAAGTGAGCCATGGCGCCAGCCCCTCAATGCAATTCTAACTACACAAAGGGTTGGGATATTTCTGATGCTAACTACAGAAAGTAATACAGACTCCACAGGTTGAGGGCACCGTTCTCCCTAAGTCTCTCCTCACTTCAAACACCAGGCACAAGCTCTGGATTCTCAGGCTATCCCAAGCATTTCTGATCAACTGGCTACAAATTTGGGGGTTCCCACCACTGCCTCAGATTCACTAATTCACCATAACATCTCACAGGGCTGAAAAGCACTGTATTTTATAGCATTGCTAAAGGACTAATGGCAAAAATCAGTCAACAAAGATACATAGGTCTCGGTCTGCAAGATCCCAGATGCAAAGCTTCTGTGTCCCAGAGCCCTGCCACATAGGTCTTCAACCCCTCTGAAACCCACAAAGACTGAGTCATCCTCAGCAATATCCCATGAACATCTATTTCATCTTAGAACAGGGAAATCAGTTATTACTTTGATCTGGTAATGCATTTTAATAATTAATTTATCATTCTTACTGACAGTCAAGCAAGCTTTCTAAAAAAACAAATATGTATCTACAGGCATTTTTAAAAAATTTTTATTCCCTTATTTATTTATTTGAAGTGACAGAGAGAGGGAGAGAGAGGGGAAAAAAAAGAGGCAGAGATACCTTTCATCTACTAGTTCACTCCCCAAATGGCTGCAATAGCCAGGCCTAGGCCAGACAGAAGCCAGAAACCAGGAACTCCATCCTGGCCTCACACATGGGTGGCAGGGGCCATTTTCTGCTGTGTTCCCAGGCACTTTATCAGGAAACTGGATTGGAAATAGAGTAGCCAGGACTGGAACCAGTATACAATATTGGCCCCCCCTACAGGCACATTTTAAAAATAAAACACTCTTAAATCTTAAGATCTACCATAATAGCTGAGCATATTAAATCTTAACTTATGAAAAAGTTAGTACCTAATTCTGGTAGGCTTATGTCTAATCAAATACAAATTTCCAATTATCCTAAGTATCCTAACATTTCCTGAATTAATGACATACCCAGGAATGTATGATATAGTCATTAGCAGATATGTTAAACAATCATGAACTACTTTGCTTATATTCCTATACACAAAGAGCATTAGTGTCTGACTCAAACTACTATACATAAAATCAGAAATGCACTCATTTCAGAACTGTAAAATTTTTCTCCCCATTTATCAGTGCTCACAATCAACAAGATCAGTAGTATAATCTTCGGTTCCAAAAGAAACAAATATTTTTAAACTAGGAGAATACAAGCTGTTAGTTGCAGTTCAGCATGGTTTTGTTAACAGCAAATAAAGTCAAAACTATTTCCTAAGAAAAACCAAGGCTGTGTGGGAAAGGGGAAAGACAAAAATATAGACTTGACTCTAAAGAATTCAAAACTTCATAGTGATCTCATTTTATATTATCAGAT